ATCCCCCTAACCCTAAAACCACCCTAACTCTATAACCCCCTAACCCTATAATCCCCCTAACCCTATAACCACCCTAACTCTATAACCCCCTAACCCTATAATCCCCCTACCCCTATAATCCCCCTAACCCTATAATCCCCCTAACCCTATAATCCCCCTACCCCTATAATCCCCTAACCCTATAATCCCCTAACCCTGTAATCCCCTAACCCTATAACCACCCTAACTCTATAACCCCCTAACCCTATAATCCCCCTAACCCTATAACCACCCTAACTCTATAATCCCCTAACCCTATAATCCCCCTAACCCTATAATCCCCCTAACCCTATAATCCCCCTAACCCTATAATCCCCCTACCTCTATAATCCCCTAACCCTATAATCCCCCTAACCCTATAAACCCCCTACCCCTATAATCCCCTACCCCTATAATCCCCCTAACCCTATAATCCCCCTACCTCTATAATCCCCTAACCCTATAATCCCCCTAACCCTATAACCACCCTAACTCTATAACCCCCTAACCCTATAATCCCCCTACCTCTATAATCCCCTAACCCTATAATCCCCCTAACCCTATAATCCCCCTACCTCTATAATCCCCTAACCCTATAATCCCCCTAACCCTATAATCCCCTAACCCTATAATCCCCTAACCCTATAATCCCCCTACCCCTATAATCCCTCTACCTCTATAATCCCCTAACCCTATAATCCCCCTAACCCTATAATCCCCTAACCCTATCTCTATATGGTGCATCATTGGTATCATGTGGGCAAAAGTCAGCTTCCTCTTCATCAGATTGTGTAACTTCTTGATGGAGCAGATCTACAGAGTTTCTCCAATCAATCAGTTGGGCTGAATTATTCACTCCTGTGTCTGTGCTCCAGCTAAATAGGATTAGATGCTGATTAGAGGAGATTGCTTCCAATATTGATCAATGTGAAGGTTTCAGCCCTTCTTATGAGGAGGGCTAATGTTTGTTCATTTCACCACCTCACGGCAGAACAAAGGCTCTGTGACACGAAGAGGAAGGAATGGTTTGATCTGCAGTCAGAGGACCACTAACAAGACTTCAGGGAGCAGGAAGAGAGGCCGGCTTTTCCACTCCACTGACCCTCTGGCATGGCGCAGGCCTGCTAGGAGCCCAGAGGGAAACAGTGACAGACAGCTTAGCTGAAGGGGGGGGGGGGGGGGGGGGGTGCTATGTGGAGCCCTTCAAGGTTCTACTAATTGGATATCAATAACCTCAACCTTTGATGGATTATTGCTTTATTTTTATTACTAAATGGCAGATTGAAGCAGATATTGCAGATTAGGATTAAACTCCAGGACAGACTGAGAGGGACAATCTGAACAGGTGGGATGGTTGGGGTCAGGTGACCTTCAGCCCAGACTGTAGGAGCAGAGAGCCCCCTGGTGGTGGGGCGGAGATCCAGGGAGCTGCAATAGGGTCTAGAAACACCAGAGAATGGGTTCTTGATCCTCTGAGGAGGGATTGACTGGTTCCACAGCAGCTCTGATGATGGTTCCTTCTATCTAATGAAGGTGGAAGGTTCTAGAGACACCAGAGAATGGGTTCTGGATCCTCTGAGGAGGCATTGACTGGTTCCACAGCAGCTCTGATGATGGTTCCATCTATCTAATGAAGGTGGAAGGTTCTAGAGACACCAGAGAATGGGTTCTGGATCCTCTGAGGAGGCATTGACTGGTTCCACAGCAGCTCTGATGATGGTTCCATCTATCTAATGAAGGTGGAAGGTTCTAGAGACACCAGACAATGGGTTCTGGATCCTCTGAGGATGCATTGACTGGTTCCACAGCACCGCTGATGATGGTTCCTTCTATCTAATGAAGGTGGAAGGTTCTAGAGACACCAGAGAACAGGTTCTGGATTCTCTGAGGGGGGATTGACTGGTTCTACAGCAGCGCTGATGATGGTTCCTTCTATCTAATAAACGTGGAAGGTTCTAGAGACATCAGAGAACAGGTTCTGGATTCTGTGAGGGGGGATTGACTGGTTCTACAGCAGCGCTGATGATGGTTCCTTCTATCTAATGAAGGTGGAAGGTTCTAGAGACACCAGAGAACGGGTTCTGGATTCTCTGAGGGGGGATTGACTGGTTCCACAGCAGCGCTGATGATGGTTCCTTCTATCTAATGAAGGTGGAAGGTTCTAGAGACACCAGAGAATGGGTTCTGGATCCTCTGAGGAGGCATTGACTGGTTCCACAGCAGCTCTGATGATGGTTCCATCTATCTAATGAAGGTGGAAGGTTCTAGAGACACCAGAGAATGGGTTCTGGATCCTCTGAAGAGGGATTGACTGGTTCCACAGCAGCGCTGATGATGGTTCCTTCTATCTAATGAAGGTGGAAGGTTCTAGAGACACCAGAGAATGGGTTCTGGATCCTCTGAGGAGGCATTGACTGGTTCCACAGCAGCTCTGATGATGGTTCCATCTATCTAATGAAGGTGGAAGGTTCTAGAGACACCAGAGAATGGGTTCTGGATCCTCTGAGGATGCATTGACTGGTTCCACAGCAGCGCTGATGATGGTTCCTTCTATCTAATGAAGGTGGAAGGTTCTAGAGACACCAGAGAACAGGTTCTGGATTCTCTGAGGGGGGATTGACTGGTTCTACAGCAGCGCTGATGATGGTTCCTTCTATCTAATAAACGTGGAAGGTTCTAGAGACATCAGAGAACAGGTTCTGGATTCTGTGAGGGGGGATTGACTGGTTCTACAGCAGCGCTGATGATGGTTCCTTCTATCTAATGAAGGTGGAAGGTTCTAGAGACACCAGAGAACGGGTTCTGGATTCTCTGAGGGGGGATTGACTGGTTCCACAGCAGCGCTGATGATGGTTCCTTCTATCTAATGAAGGTGGAAGGTTCTAGAGACATCAGAGAACGGGTTCTGGATTCTCTGAGGGGGGATTGACTGGTTCTACAGCAGCTCTGATGATGGTTCCTTCTATCTAATGAAGGTGGAAGGTTCTAGAGACATCAGAGAACAGGTTCTGGATTCTCTGAGGGGGGATTGACTGGTTCTACAGCAGCTCTGATGATGGTTCCTTCTATCTAATGAAGGTGGAAGGTTCTAGAGACATCAGAGAACAGGTTCTGGATTCTCTGAGGGGGGATTGACTGGTTCTACAGCAGCTCTGATGATGGTTCCTTCTATCTAATGAAGGTGGAAGGTTCTAGAGACATCAGAGAACAGGTTCTGGATTCTCTGAGGGGGGATTGACTGGTTCCACAGCATCTCTGATGATGGTATCTTCTATCTAATGAAGGTGGAAGGTTCTAGAGATACCAGAGAAGGAGCTCTGGACCATATGAGGAGGGATTGACTGGTTCTACAGCAGTGCTGATGATGGTTCCTTCTATCTAATGAAGGTGGAAGGTTCTAGAGACACCACAGAATGGGTTCTGGATCCTCTGAGGAGGGATTGACTGGTTTCAGAGCACCGCTGATGATGGTTCCTTCTATCTAATGAAGGTGGAAAGTTCTAGAGGCACCAGAGAATGGGTTCTGGATCCTCTGAGGGGGGATTGACTGGTTTCAGAGCACCGCTGATGATGGTTCCTTCTATCTAATGAAGGTGGAAAGTTGTAGAGGCACCAGAGAATGGGTTCTTGATCCTCTAAGGAGGGATTGACTGGTTTCAGAGCACCGCTGATGATGGTTCCTTCTATCTAATGAAGGTGGAAGGTTCTAGAGACACAAGAGAACATGTTCTGGGTTCTCTGTGGGGGGATTGACTGGTTCCACAGCACCGCTGATGATGGTTCCTTCTATCTAATGAAGGTGGAAGGTTCTAGAGACACCAGAGAATGGGTTCTTGATCCTCTGAGGAGGGATTGACTGGTTCCAGAGCAGCGCTGATTATGGTTCCTTCTATCTAATGAAGGTGGAAGGTTCTAGAGACACCAGAGCATGTTTTCTGGATTCTCTGAGGGGGGGTTGACTGGTTCCACAGCAGCGCTGATGATGGTTCCTTCTATCTAATGAAGGTGGAAGGTTCTAGAGACACCAGAAAACAGGTTCTGGATCCTCTGAGGAGGGATTGACTGGTTGTACAGAAGCGCTGATGATGGTTCCTTCTATCTAATGAAGGTGGAAGGTTCTAGAGACACCAGAGAACAGGTTCTGGATCCTCTGAAGAGGGATTGACTGGTTGTACAGAAGCGCTGATGATGGTTCCTTCTATCTAATGAAGGTGGAAAGTTCTAGAGACACCAGAGAACGGGTTCTTGATCCTCTGAGGAGGGATTGACTGGTTCCACAGCAGCGCTGATGATGGTTCCTTCTATCTAATGAAGGTGGAAGGTTCTAGAGACACCAGAGAATGGGTTCTGGATCCTCTGAAGAGGGATTGACTGGTTCCAGAGCACCGCTGATGATGGTTCCTTCTATCTAATGAAGGTGGAAAGTTCTAGAGACACCACAGAATGGGTTCTGGATCCTCTGAGGAGGGATTGACTGGTTCCACAGCAGCGATGATGATTGTTCCTTCTATCCAATGAAGGTGGAAGGTTCTAGAGACACCAGAGAATGGGTTCTGGATCCTCTGAGGAGGGATTGACTGGTTCCTTCCCAGCGCTGATGATGGTTCCTTCTATCCAATGAAGGTGGAAGGTTGTAGAGACACCAGAAAATGGGTTCTGGATCCTCTGAGGAGGGATTGACTGGTTCCACAGCAGTGCTGATGATGGTTCCTTCTATCTAATGAAGGTGGAAGGTTCTAGAGACACCAGAGAATGGGTTCTGGATCCTCTGAGGAGGGATTGACTGGTTCCTTCCCAGCGCTGATGATGGTTCCTTCTATCCAATGAAGGTGGAAGGTTGTAGAGACACCAGAAAATGGGTTCTGGATCCTCTGAGGAGGGATTGACTGGTTCCACAGCAGTGCTGATGATGGTTCCTTCTATCTAATGAAGGTGGAAGGTTCTAGAGATGTCTTCTCACAGTTTCTCTCTTCTCTCCACAGTCTCCATGGTCGGCACATGCAGGCGAACCCAGAACCTCCAAAGAAGAGCAGCGATAAGAGCAGGAAGATCAGCCGCAAGCCGCTGGCTGCCAAGAACAAATAAAGGAGGAAGTGGATCAGAACCTTCCACCTGTATGGCTCCATCTGGTTCTGGTTCTGCTCATCTTTCTCCATCAGTTGTTTGCTTCTTCATGTTTTATGCAGCATTTCACGTTTAATGTTCACCCAGACTTTCTAAGACTTTTCTCCAGAACCGTGGAACCAGCAGCTCCACCGTTCTTTACTATTCTAGCTCAGCTCAGGCAGACTGAAGAAGAAGGTCAAAGGTCACTGCTGCTGTTAAACATCTGGATGTTTCCAGCAGCAGGAAGTTCGTCCAGGAGCCCCTGGTCCCCAGGGAATCCTGCTTTTTAAGGATCCCTGGTCCCCAGGGACCCCTGCTGTTCCAGGACCCCTGGTCCCCAGGGAATCCTGCTGTTCCAGGACCCCTGGTCCCCAGGGAATCCTGCTGTTCCAGGACCCCTGGTCCCCAGGGAATCCTGCTGTTCCAGGACCCCTGGTCCCCAGGGAATCCTGCTGTTCCAGGACCCCTGGTCCCCAGGGATCCTTAAAAAGCAGGAGCCCCTGGTCCCCAGGGAATCCTGCTTTTTAAGGATCCCTGGTCCCCAGGGACCCCTGCTGTTCCAGGACCCCTGGTCCCCAGGGAATCCTGCTGTTCCAGGACCCCTGGTCCCCAGGGAATCCTGCTGTTCCAGGACCCCTGGTCCCCAGGGAATCCTGCTGTTCCAGGACCCCTGGTCCCCAGGGAATCCTGCTGTTCCAGGACCCCTGGTCCCCAGGGAATCCTGCTTTTTAAGGATCCCTGGTCCCCAGGGACCCCTGCTGTTCCAGGACCCCTGGTCCCCAGGGAATCCTGCCTTTCCAGGACCCCTGGTCCCCAGGGAATCCTGCCTTTCCAGGACCCCTGGTCCCCAGGGAATCCTGCTGTTCCAGGACCCCTGGTCCCCAGGGAATCCTGCCTTTCCAGGACCCCTGGTCCCCAGGGAATCCTGCCTTTCCAGGACCCCTGGTCCCCAGGGAATCCTGCTGTTCCAGGACCCCTGGTCCCCAGGGAATCCTGCTGTTCCAGGACCCCTGGTCCCCAGGGAATCCTGCTTTTTAAGGATCCCTGGTCCCCAGGGAACCCTGTCCTCCAAGGTCCCCTGCTTTCCAGGGACCCCTGCTGTCCAGAGAACCCTGTTTCCAGGGAACCCTGCTGTTAAAGGACCCCTGGTCCCCAGGGACTCCTGCTGTCCAGGGACCCCTGCTGTCCAGGGACTCCTGCATTTTTGATCTTGGGGCCCCAGTCATGACTTACTGCATGGCTGATTAACAGGCTGGTGCGAAGGAACCATTGGACTCTAGAGGTCCAGGGGGACAGATGGAGGACAGGCGGAGGACAGGTGGGGGACCACTGCTGTAAGGCCTTAAATCATGATGTTGGTCCTTGCTAACATTTCCTCCTTAAAGAGCTGTGGGCCCCAGAGGGCCTCCAGTGGGGGCAGGTCTGAGCTGCATCCGTTTCTCTCTGCGCTCTGTAACCATAACAGCTTCTCATCGATTTAGATCAATTCACTTTGATCTTTTTTATATATAATCTGCTGTCATCATATTTCTGCTCGTTGCTCAGAATAAATGCCTTAAATCCATGTCTGGTTTTTGTCTGATAAACTTTCTGCTGCTGCTTTTTACAGGAATATTTTTCCAGTATTTTGGTTCATTTTCTCTTCTGACCTTAAATGATCTGATCTGGGATCAGTCGCTGTTCCTCAGAGATTACAGCTCAGATAGGGCAGGTAATCCTCAGGTAGCGGGCCCCAAGGCCTTCCTTCTGCTAACAGAGATATTAATCCAATTATCTGGATCCCATCAGCAGAACTCCTGACGCCTTCGGTTTTCCATGATGATGTCAGCGAGACGCCGTATGGAAATGGTCAGGAACAACCAGACTGGGATTCATCTTCCCAGTTCAAAAAGCTTTTGGTTTCCATGGTGACCTCCAGTCCTATCAAATCATTACCATCTTGTTCCAGAGACTCAGAAATCAGTTGATCTACATATTCTAGAGTTTCTTTCATAACTTGGCGTCTAAAGCATCTATTTTCATAGAGTTGATTCTTTTAGTTTTGGATTCATCTCAGACTTTTCCAAGGACACAACGAGTCCCAGGCCGACCGGACGCCATTGATTTCCTCTCAGTGATTTATAGTCGGGCAGCGATGGGACAGCCCAGACTCTGAGCAGCTCAGTGAATCAGCTGCCTCTAACAGACACATTCTATACTAAAAGATCTGGATCTGTGTCAGAAACAGTTTTTATTATTTTAGTTGTTTTTAGAGCGGACTATGGAGTCGAGGACTGCAGTTAATCTACCAACCAATCAGATCAGTGGATTTATAGGAATAACTTTATTGGATTTAAATAGATGAATATAAAAATTAACAGAATTGATTTAAAGCTCCTTCTAGAGTTCCTCAGAACTTCATTTCCTTATTTAATAGATTTAAAAACCTCTTCTGGCGGACGAGGTGCAACAGGAAGGATATTTGCTGATGACATTTTATTTTGGGACGTGTGATATTCTATGTTCTGCTGAAGGAGGCTGCATGTTGGAGCAGAAATACCTCCCTGTTCACCTCGTCTCCAAGGACAGAGCAGACTGGACTTCTAGAGGAAGCTGAGGTCCTTCAGATGCTGCAGATCTTCTATCAGTCTGATCTCTGCCTCCATCATCATCATCAGAGCTAATGACTGAAAGAAGCTCAACCAGCAAATAAAGAAGGCCGGTTCTGTTCATCAGACTGTTAGACACCAACAGAGGGTCTTCAGTCAGAGGCTGAACCAGATCTGCTGCAGACAGACCTCTACAGGAGATCCTTCCTCTCTACAGCATCAACATCTAGAACAGCTGGATTAAAATAACCTTATAGATTAATTTATATTTAAACGTGGATGAAATAGTTGATAGGCGTGTTTTATGAAAGTTAAACCCACAATGATGACAGGAATAAAAAAATCCATGAAAATGAGCAAAAGAAAGTCAGACGCTGCTTTTCAGCCATGCTTCAATGGCATGACTTAGAAAATAAAACATGGAAAGCCTTTAACTATTTAAATGTTCACATCCCCAGAAGTTCTGGGCGAGGAGGAGGAGTAGCAACAATCTTCCAGTCTGACTTACTGATTACTACCAAGACAGTTAATACCTACAACTCTTTTGAACATTTAACCCTTAATTTCCCTGATCCAGATTTCAAAGCAGAAAACCTCTTCTTTTTGTAACTTTGTATCGTCCACCAGGTCCTTACTCTGAATGTTTAGATGAGTTTTCAGAGTTCCTTTCTGATTTGGTATTAAATACTGACAGGGTCATCATAGTGGGAGATTTTAACATCCATGCTGACATTGAAGGCGATAGCTTAAGAGCAGCCTTTAATGCTATCTTAGACACTATTGGCTTTGTTCAAAATGTGAATAGTCCCACGCATTCTCATCTTCATACTTTGGATCTTGTGCTGACATACGGCATAGAATGTGAAGAAATAACAGTATTTCCTCACAACCCTGTCCTCTCTGACCACTTTCTAATAACCTTCAGGATTACTTTAACAGAGTTCTCCTCCCCCAAAAGAAGGTTACATTTTAGTAGATCTTTATCAGATAGTGCAGTTATAAATTTTAAAGAATCTGCTTCACTTTCTCTCTGCTCTGTGTCACTGAGCAGTGCTGCAGAGTGCAAAAGCTTAGCTTATTCCCCTTCACAGGTTGATGATTTTGTTGATGGGGTTGCTAGTTCTCTGCGTACTGCCTTAAATAAATAAATCTAACTAATAACATATATTAATAAATATATATATATATTTAGAGAGAGAGAGATAGTATTCATAAACAGAGTTTAATAATAGCTTTAATCAATAATGCTTTTCAGTTGAACTTTTGTTTTCTATGAGTTTTATTTCAGGAACTTACTGTGAACCTGACCCTCACCATCTCTGGATTAGCTCAAGTTGATCAAAGCTTTAACCCTTTATAGGGCAAGTCAGAGTTTTTAATCACTTTCATACCCCATAGAAATAGAGAGACCCCCCGTCCCTCAGTGAGCTCTAGAAGCACAAGCTCTATATCCAGCCATTCAGCAGAGATCCTGCTACATGGCTGTACATCTTATTTTGGGATTTAACCAATTAGATGAGCCCTTGAATGATAGATTACCTACTGGAAATTAAGTTGGAAAAAAGAAGTTAACAGTCAAGGAAAAAGATAAAAAGCTCATTGAAAAGTTAAAAAGTTAGTAAGCCTAGTTAACAATTATATTTAGGTTTATAAACAAAAAAATGTCAGTACCAGTATCAGCAATAATGCCTCTAAGGTTATAATGGACCAATAAAAATGTGTTTCTTTCTCTCTCAGTGTTTTTCATGAATTTCTCATAGAAGCACTTCTGTTATTTTTCTTAATATATTCAGACAAGTTGGTGTTTCTGGTTATTACTTTGATATTAAGCATCAAAATATCCATATTTATTGAATGTTCCAAAGATAAGAAGGTCTTGTCCTGGATTCCAATAATAATTGGCTGGAACTGTGGATTTTCACTGAGGCCCTATAAAGGGTTAATGCGTCATCTGTAGAGCACATTGGAAAAGTAACATGAAGTCAGAGTAAGACAATAAATGGTATTTTTTAATTGGCGTACAAGTAAATTCCTCTATCAAACAGTTTCAGCAAAAGATCGTCTTATTTCTGTATTTAAGTTTTTTTTTTTTTAAGTCTTAAAAGCAATGTTGTGCTTTTTATTTCTTTAGTTCCGCAAATATTTATTTCTTTTTTTGTTCAGAATGGTCTTGTGCATTTCATGGATATTTTGTTCTCTGTAAGAAATACTGTAAAACTTTTCCTGTTTTCCTGTATCAAACCATGTAGTAAAAAAAACAGTTACCAACCAATAAATTTAGTGTAAAAACGGTGGAATGCAGGTTTTACTTGCAAATACCTGTAAAACTGAAACATAAAATCTTGGTAGTTTTTGTAATGTCAACGATAGGAAGTATTTTAAAACTTGTGTAATTTGATTACCTGCCTGTACTTTGTGAAGTGACAGCAAGTGTCATTCTTGGACAGAATAATTTCATTTTGAGTCAGATTTCCTGTGTTTTGGTAAAGATAGTGAGTGCAGAGAAAAGGTGTTTTATTTTGAAAGGAAGGGTTAGTATATATTTATCTAAATGTGTTTTATTTTGAAATGAAGGGTTAGTATATATTTATCTAAATGTGTTTTATTTTGAAATGAAGGGTTAGTATATATTTATCTAAATGTGTTTTATTTTGAAATGAAGGGTTAGTATATATTTATCTAAATGTGTTTTTTTTTAAATGAAGGGTTAGTATATATTTATCTAAATGTGTTTTATTTTGAAATGAAGGGTTAGTATATATTTATCTAAATGTGTTTTATTTTGAAATGAAGGGTTAGTATATATTTATCTAAATGTGTTTTATTTTGAAATGAAGGGTTAGTATATATTTATCTAAATGTGTTTTTTTTTTAAATGAAGGGTTAGTATATATTTATCTAAATGTGTTTTATTTTGAAATGAAGGGTTAGTATATATTTATCTAAATGTGTTTTATATTTTGAAATGAAGGGTTAGTATATATTTATCTAAATGTGTTTTATTTTGAAATGAAGGGTAGTATATATATACTAAATGTGTTTTAATTGAAATGAAGTTAGTATATATGATTCTAAATGTTTTTATTTTGAAAATAAGGGTTAGTATATATTTATCTAAATGTGGTTTATTTTGAATGAAGGATTAGTATATATTTTATCTAAATGTGTTTTTATTTTAAATGAAGGGGTAGTATATATTTTAGCTAAATGTGTTTTAATTTTGAATGAAGGGTTTAGTAAATATATTTTATCTAAAGTGTTTTATTATGAAATGAAGGGGTAGTATATTTTAATCTCTAATGTGTTTTTTTTAAAATGAAGGTTAGTAAGAATTTTTATCTAAATGTGTTTTATTTTTGAAATGAAGGGTTAGTATATATTATCTAAATGGGTTTTATTTTGAAATGAAGGGTTAGTATATATTTTATCTAAATGTGTTTGTATTTTGAAATGAAGGGTTAGTATATATTTATCTAAATGTGTTTTATTTTGAAATGAAGGGTTAGTATATATTTATCTAAATGTGTTTTATTTTGAAATGAAGGGTTAGTATATATTTATCTAAATGTGTTTTATTTTGAAATGAAGGGTTAGTATATATTTATCTAAATGTGTTTTATTTTGAAATGAAGGGGTAGTATATATTTATCTAAATGTGTTTTATTTTGAAATGAAGGGTTAGTATATATTTATCTAAATGTGTTTTATTTTAAATGATTGATTGAGTTTAGCAGGTGTGAGTCTGAGTTAATAGTTTAGAAAAAGTATCTGAGGTTTGGATAAACGCTTCTTAGCGACTGACAGAAACTGTAATGTCTTTATTTTTCCAGATATAATATTTATGAGGACTGTTTGTAGAAAAATGAGCATCATTATTTTATGAAGCGTAGAGATTTATTAAGGGTATTTAGTGTAATACATCTAAGAAGAAAAGGTAATCCTCCGATTCTGTCAAAGTTATAAATGGGAAAAATATTTCACGTAGAGTTTTTTTTAGATTTTTTTAAATGTTTAACTTTGAATGAATTGTTTAAAGTTTTAAGTTAACAAATTGAATTCCTCTTTTTTCATCTTTATTCATTAGATTTTGTTCCTTTATGAAACGGCATTTCTTTTTCTATATAAAGTTTATTTTATTAATGTTGATCAGTTTGGATAAATAAATGTAGATAAACCATCAGCTTTGAGCGTTTCTATCAGACAAAGATCTTTGTTCAACTATTTATGGGCTTAAATGTTTTATTGGTTTTATATTTTGATCTTTAATTATTGTGATTCTAAGGGAATGTTGGGGAATGCAGCTTTTAAATGAGATTTAATGGAAAGGAAATCACAATAGATTTACAGTCAGATGTCCTCATGTCCAGAAGAAAAGGATTTTCTTTGGGGTCCTCTTCCTCCTCCTCCTCCTCCTCCTCCTCCTCCTCCTCCTCCTCCTCCTCCTCCTCCTCCTCCTCCTCCTCCTCCTCCTCTCTCCCCTCTCCCTCCTCCCTCCTCCTCCTTAAAATCAGCTGCCCTCCTTCCTTCCTTTTCCTCTGATCTTTGCCTTCAGATCAGTCACCAGGCTCCACTTCTTCCACTCCTGGGTTTCTGGTTCCAAACCCTCCTCCTTCTTTCCTCTCTGAGCATCAGAGCCTGTCTTCTCCTCCTCTCTCCATCCTCTCCTCCTCTCTCCATCCTCTCCTCCTCTCTCCATCCTCTCTCTCCCTCCATCCAGCCATCATTGCCCCTAAAAGCAGGCAGCAGGACCCGCCTGCGCTCCCGCGGCTCGCTGGCAGGAAGCGGGCTGTGGCAGCGGGGGTCCTGGGGATCATGGTGGTTCTGGTTCTGGTAGTCCTCATCCCGGTTCTGGTCAGCTCCGCCGGAACTTTGGCTCACTATGAAATGCTCGGCGCGTGCAGGATGGTGTGCGACCCGTACGGAAGCAGCCCGCCGAGCAGCACCCCGGACAGCAGCCTCCTGCAGTCTCTGCCCACCTTCATCCAGGGGCCCAGAGGGGACCCGGGCCGCCCCGGGAAGCTGGGGCAGAGGGGGCCCCCAGGGGAACCGGGGCCCCCCGGACCCGCGGGGCCACCCGGGGATAAAGGCGAGCCGGGCAGACCTGGACCCCCGGGACCCAGCGGAGTCTCTGGCGCCATCAGCGCGGCCACCTACAGCACCGCGCCGAGGATCGCCTTTTACGCAGGGCTGAAGAAGCAGCACGAGGGATACGAAGTGCTGAAGTTTGATGACGTGGTGACCAACCTGGGAAACCACTACGACCCAACATCCGGGAAGTTCACCTGCTCCATCCCTGGGATCTATTTCTTCACCTACCACGTCCTGATGCCGGAGAGACAGAAGAACCGCATGCGTTAGAACTAGGCGCGGACCTGTGCAAGAACAACCAGGGTAGAAGGCTGGTTATTAACTGCAGCCTGGAGACGGTGTCAGGGCAGAAACAGGCAGGAAACAGGCAGAAACAGGCAGAAAACCAGCCAGAAACAGGAGGAGACGGAACCAGCATGTGGGCTGACCTGTGCAAGAACAACCAGGTAGGAAAGGCTGGTTATTACTGCAGCCTGGAGACGGTGTCAGGGCAGAAACAGGTAGAAACAGGCAGAAACAGGCAGAAAACCAGCCAGAAACAGGAGGAGACGGAACCAGCATGTGGGCCGACCTGTGCAAGAACAACCAGGTAGGAAAGGCTGGTTATTACTGCAGCCTGGAGACGGTGTCAGGGCAGAAACAGGCAGAAACAGGCAGGTAAAGGCAGAAAACCAGCCAGAAACAGGAGGAGACGGAACCAGCATGTGGGCCGACCTGTGCAAGAACAACCAGGTAGGAAAGGCTGGTTATTACTGCAGCCTGGAGACGGTGTCAGGGCAGAAACAGGCAGAAACAGGCAGGAAAAGGCAGAAAAACCAGCCCGAAACAAGGAGGAGACGAACCAGCATGTGGGCCGACCTGTGCAAGAACAACCAAGGTAGGAAAGCTGGTTTTACTGCAGCCTGGAGACGGTGTCAGGGCAGAAACAAGGCAAGAAACAGGCAGGAAAAGGCAGATACAGCAAAACAGGCAAAAAACCAGTCAGAAACAGAGGAGAGGAACCACATGTGGGCTGACCTGTGCAAGATACAACCAGGTAGGAAAGGCTGATTATACTGCAGCCTGGAGACGGTGTCAGGCAGAAACAGGGGAGAAACAAGGGCAGAAACAGCAGAAAACCAGTCAGAAACAGGAGGAGAGGGAACCAGCATGTGGGCCTGACCTGTGCAAGAACAACCAGTAGGAAAAGGCTGATAAATTACTCGCAGCCTGGAGACGTGTCAGGGCAGAAACAGTCATGAAACAGGCAGGAAAAGGCAGAACAGACGAAAAGACATGAAGAAAAACACCCATCGGGGGGGAAACAAGCGGCAAAGCGACACCGAACGCACCCACAATGCAACCCCGCACGGAGCGCTCAGGTAACAGCGAACACAACCGAGCACCATATTTCGGAGAACATAAAGCAAACCAGGGCAGACGCAAAAGTAATAAACGACACAGAAGGGAGGATCAAAGAAAACTAAATCGCGACCACCAAAAAGCCCGAGCACACCACAAGGACACACACAAGCGCCCCGCCACCACTCATTCCACCCGCCCCTACCCGCACCCCCCCCACCCGACCCTCCAGCCCCACCCCCGCCTGTGACCCCCACCGCCTAATCCCTGCCCCGCATTGAACCCCCCTGATTATCTCGCTTCGCCGCCTTATCCTTCCCTTCGCCCTCTGTCCTCGGCCTAAACCTTTCTCCCCGTACATTCGCCCCCCACCGCCGCACGTCCCTTCCCCCTCGCCCTCCCAGAGGACGTGCCTGTCTAGACCACCCTCATAAAAACAGCCAGAAAAAAGTAGGAGACCGGAACCACATGTGGCCGACCTGTGCAAGAACAACCAGGAAGGAAAGGCGGTTATTACTGCAGCCTGGAGACGTAGTCATGGGCAGAAACAGGCAGAAACTGGCAGAAAAAGCAGAAAACAGTCCATAAAAACAGGCCAGAAAAAGGAGAAGAAACAGGAACCAGCATGTGGGCCGACCTGTGCACGAACAACCAGGTAGGAAAGGCTGGTTATTACAGCACCTGGAACGGTGTCCAGGGCAGAAAACAGGTATAAACAGGCAGAAACAGGCAGAAAACCAGCAGAAACAGGATGAGACGAACCAGCATGTGGCTGACCTGTGCAAGAACAACCAGGTAGGAAAGGCGGGTTATTACTGTCAGCCTGGAGCCGTGTCAGGGCCAAGAACGAGGCAGGAAAAGGCGAGAAATTCAGCCAGAAACAGAGAGACGGAACCAGCAGTGGGCCGACCTGTGCAAGACAACCATGTAGAAAGGCTGGTTATTAACTGCAGCCCTGGAGACGGTGGTCAGGGCAAAACAGCCAGAAACAGGGCAGGTAAAGGCAGAAAACCAGCCAGAAACAGGAGGAGACGGGAACCAGCATGTGGGCCCACCTGTGCAAGAACATACCAGTAAGGAAAGGGCTGGTTATTAACTGCAGCCTGAGACGGTGTCAGGGCAGAAACAGGCAGGAACAGGCAGGAAAAGGCAGAAACAGTCAGAAACAGGCAAAAAACAGTCAAAACAGGAGGAAGGGATCCAGTATGTGGGCCGACCTGGTGAAGAACAACCTGGTAGGAAAGGCTGGTTATTAACTACTGGCAGCCTGGAGACGGTGTCAGGTGCAGAAACAGGTTAGAAACAGCGCAAGAAACAGGCAGAAAACCGAGCCAGAAACAGGAGGAGACGGAACCAGCATGTGGCGACGCTTTGCAAGAACAACCAGTAGAAAGGCTGGTTATTAACTGAGCCTGGAGACGGTGTCAGGGCAGAAACATAGAAACAGGCAAAACAGGCAGAACACCAGCCAGAAACAGGAGGAGACGGAACCCAGTCATGTGGGCCGATCCTGTGGCTAAGAACAAACCAGGTAGGAAAGGCTTGGTTATTTAACTGCACCTGGAAGAGGTGTCAGGGCATAAACAGGTAAAACAGCAAAACAGGCAGAAAACCACCAAAACAGGAGAGACGAACCAAGCATGTGGGGCTGACCTGTGCAAGAACAACCAGGTAGAGAAATGCTGGTTATTACTCCGCAGCCTGGAGACGGTCGGCAAAACAGGTAGAAACAGGCAGGAAAAGGAGAAAACCAGTCAGAAACAGGGAGGAGGAGCGGAACCAAGCCAAGTGGGCTGACCTGTGCAAGAACAACCAGGTAGGAAAAGGCTGGTTATTACTCGCAGCCTGGAAGACCGGTGTCAGGGCAGAAACAGGCAGAAACAGAAAGGAAAAAAAAAAAAACCATGCAAAAACCAGTCAATACAGGAGGAGAGGGAACCAGCAAGTGGGGCCCCCCCTGACCTGTGCAAGAACATACCAGTAGGAAAGGCTGATTATTTCACTCGCAGCCTGGAGACGGTGTCAGGGCAGAAACAGGGGTAGATACAGGCAGAAACAGGCAGACAAACCAGTCAAAACAGAAGGAGAGGGAACCAGCCATTTGGGCCTGACCTGTGCAAGAACAACCAGGTAGGAAAGGCTTGATAAGGTACTGCAGCCTGGAGACGTGTCAGGGCAGAACACTCAAAACAGGCAGAGAAAGGCAGAAAACACTCATAAAAAAACAGCAAAAAAGGAGGAGAACGGAACCACAAATTTGGCCGACTTGTGCAAGAACAACCAGGTATGTAGGCTGTTATTACGCAGCTGGAGACGGTGTCAGGGCAGAAACAGGCAGAAACAGGCAGAAAAAGGCAGAAACATCCATAAAAAACAGCCAGAAAAAGCGAGGAAGAGAGGAACCAGCATGTGGCCGACCTGTGCCAGAACAAGCCAGGTAGGAAAGGCCTGGTTATTACTAGCTACTGCAGCCTGGAGACGGTGTCTGGGCAGAAACAGGTAGAAACAGGCGAAACAGCATAAAACCAGCCAAAACAGGAGGAGACCGGAACCAGCATGTGGCGTGACCTGTGCAAGAACAACCAGGAGGAAATGGCTGGTTATTACTGCAGCCCTGGAGACGTGTCAGGCAGAAACAGGCAGAAAACATAGGCAGGAAAAGGCAGAAAATCAGCCAGAACAAGGAGAACGGAAACCAGCATGTGGGCCCCGAAAACTTTGCAAAACAACCATAGGAGGAAAGGCTGGATAATTACTGCAGCCTGAGACGTGTCAGGGCAGAAATACAGGCAGAAACAGCAGGTAAAGGCAGAAAACCAGCCTGAAACAGGAGGATAACGGAACCCCAGCATGTGGCCGACCTGTGCAAGAACAACAGTAGGAAAGGCTTGCGGTTATATACTGCAAGCCTGTGAGACGGTGGTCAGGCAGAAACAGGCAGGAACAGGCAGGAAAAGGCCGAAACCGTCAGAAACCAGGCAAAAAACCGTCAGAAACAGAGGAGAGGGAACACATGTGGGCCCGACCTGTGCAAGAACAACCAGTAGGAAAAGGCCTGGTTATTACTAGGCAGCCTGGTGACGGTGTCAGGGCAAAACAGTAGAAAACAGGCAGAAACAGGCAGAAAACCAGCCAAAACAGAGGAGACGAACCCATCATGTGGGCCCGACCTGTGCAAGAACAACCAGGTTAGGAAAGCTGGTAATTACTGCAGCCTGATGACGGTGTCAGGGCAGAAACATTAAAACAGGGCAGAAACAGCAGAAACCAGCCAGAAACAGGAGGAGACACGGACCAGCATGTGGCCGACCTGTGCAAGAACAACCAGGGTAGGAAAGGCTGGTTTATTACTGCAGCATGGAGACGGTGTCAGGGCAGAAACAGGTAGAAACAGGCAGAAACAGGCAAAAAACCAGCCAGAAACAGGAGGAGACGGAAATCCAGCATGTGGGCTGACCTGGCAAGAAACAACCAGGTAGGTAAAGGCTGGTTAATAATCTGCAGCCTGGAGACGGGGTCAGGGCAGAAACAGGTATGAAACAGCAGGAAAAGGCAGAAAACCAGTTTCCAGAAACAGGAGGAACGGAACCAGCATGTGGGCTGACCTGTGCAAGAACAACCGTAGGAAAGGCCTGGTTATTACTGCAGCCTGGAGACGGTGTCAGGCAGAAACAGGCAGGAAAAGGCAGAAAATTCAGCCAGAAACAGGAGAGACGGAACAACCCCCAGCGAATGTGGGCTGAACTGTGCAATAACAACCAGGTAGGAAAGGCTGATTATTACTGCAGCCTGGAAAGGGAGTCAGGGCAGAAACAGGTAGAAACAGCAGAAACAGGCAGGAAAACCATCAAAACAGAGAGAGGGAACCACATGTGGGCCGACCTGTGCAAGAACAACCATGTAGGAAAGCGGTTATTACTGCAGCCGGAGACGGTGTCAGGGCAAACAGGCAAAACAGCCAGGAAAAGGCAGAAAACCAGCCAGAAACAGGAGGAGAACTGAACCAGCATGTGGGCCGTCCTGTGCAAGAACAACCAGGAAGGAAGGCTGTTAATACTGAGCCTGGGACGGTGTCAGGTGCAGAAACAGGCAGGAACAGGCAGGAAAAGCAGAAACAGGTCAGAAAAAGGCAAAAACCAGTCCAGAAAAAGAGGAGAGGGAACCAGCATGTGGTGGGCCGACCTGTGCAAGGAACAACAGGTAGGAAAGGCTGGTTTATTACTGCAGCCTTGGGAGACGGTGGTCAGGGCAGAAACAGGTATAAACAGCAGAAACAGCAAATACCAGCCAAAACAGGAAAGAGAGGGAACCAGCATGTGGTCCGACCTGTGAAGAACAACCAGGTAGGAAAAGGCTGTTTATTACTCGCAGCCTGGAGAACGGTGTCAGGGCAGAACCAGGTAGAAACCAGAAGGCATAAACAGGCAGAAAACCAGCCAGAAAACAGAGGAGAGGAACCAGCATGTGGCCGACCTGGCAAGAACAACCAGGTAGAAAGGCTGGGTATTACTGTCAGCCTGGAACGGTGTCAGGGCAGAAACAGGTAGAAACAGGGCAGAAACAGGCAAAAACCAGCCAGAAACAGAAAGAAGGAACCAGCAATGTGGGCCGACCCTGTGCAAAACAACCAGGTAGGAAAGCTGGTTATTACTGCAGCCTGGGAAGACGGTCCAGGGCAAAACGCGGCAGAAACAGGCAGGTAAAAGGGCAGAAAACCACCAGAAACAGGAGGAGACGGAAACCAGCATGGGGGCCGACCTGTGCAAGACAACCAGTAGGAAAGGCTGGTTTTATTACTGCAGCCTGGAGACGGTGTCAGGCAGAAACAGGCAGGAACAGGCGAAAAGGCAGAAACAGTCAGAAACAGGCAAAAAAAACCATCAGAAACAGGAGGAGAGTGAACCAGCATGTGGGCCGACCTGGTGCAAGAACAACCAGTAGGAAGAGGCTGGTTATTACTGCAGCCTGGAGACGGTGTCAGGGCAGAAACAGGTAGAAACAGGCAGAAACAGGCAGAAAACCAGCCAGAAACAGGAAGAGAGGGAACCAGCATGTGGGCCGACCTGTGCAAGAACAACCAGGTAGGAAAGGCTGGTTATTACTGCAGCCTGGAGACGGTGTCAGGGCAGAAACAGGTAGAAACAGGCAGAAACAGGCAGAAAACCAGCCAGAAACAGGAAGAGAGGGAACCAGCATGTGGGCCGACCTGTGCAAGAACAACCAGGTAGGAAAGGCTGGTTATTACTGCAGCCTGGAGACGGTGTCAGGGCAGAAACAGGTAGAAACAGGCAGAAACAGGCAGAAAACCAGCCAGAAACAGGAAGAGAGGGAACCAGCATGTGGGCCGACCTGTGCAAGAACAACCAGGTAGGAAAGGCTGATTATTACTGCAGCCTGGAGACGGTGTCAGGGCAGAAACAGTCAGAAACAGGCAGGAAAAGGCAGAAACAGTCATAAAAACAGCCAGAAAAAGGAGGAGACGGAACCAGCATGTGGGCCGACCTGTGCAAGAACAACCAGGTAGGAAAGGCTGGTTATTACTGCAGCCTGGAGACGGTGTCAGGGCAGAAACAGGCAGAAAAAGGCAGAAACAGTCATAAAAACAGCCAGAAAAAGGAGGAGACGGAACCAGCATGTGGGCCGACCTGTGCAAGAACAACCAGGTAGGAAAGGCTGGTTATTACTGCAGCCTGGAGAAGGAGTCAGGGCAGAAACAGTCAGAAACAGGCAGGAAAAGGCAGAAAACCAGCCAGAAACAGGAGGAGACGGAACCAGCATGTGGGCTGACCTGTGCAAGAACAACCAGGTAGGAAAGGCTGGTTATTACTGCAGCCTGGAGACGGTGTCAGGGCAGAAACAGGTAGAAACAGGCAGAAACAGGCAGAAAACCAGCCAGAAACAGGAAGAGAGGGAACCAGCATGTGGGCCGACCTGTGCAAGAACAACCAGGTAGGAAAGGCTGGTTATTACTGCAGCCTGGAGACGGTGTCAGGGCAGAAACAGGCAGAAACAGGCAGGAAAAGGCAGAAAACCAGCCAGAAACAGGCAAAAAACCAGTCAGAAACAGGAGGAGAGGGAACCAGCATGTGGGCCGACCTGTGCAAGAACAACCAGGTAGGAAAGGCTGGTTATCAGTGCAGCCTGGAGACGGTGTCAGGGCAGAAACAGGCAGAAACAGGCAGGAAAAGGCAGAAAACCAGCCAGAAACAGGCAAAAAACCAGTCAGAAACAGGAGGAGAGGGAACCAGCATGTGGGCCGACCTGTGCAAGAACAACCAGGTGATAAAGGCTGGTTATTACTGCAGCCTGGAGACGGTGTCAGGGCAGAAACAGGCAGGAAAAGGCAGAAAACCAGCCAGAAACAGGAGGAGACGGAACCAGCATGTGGGCTGACCTGTGCAAGAACAACCAGGTAGGAAAGGCTGATTATTACTGCAGCCTGGAGAAGGAGTCAGGGCAGAAACAGTCAGAAACAGGCAGAAAAAGGCAGAAACAGTCATAAAACCAGTCAGAAAAAGGAGGAGACGGAACCAGCATGTGGGCCGACCTGTGCAAGAACAACCAGGTAGGAAAGGCTGATTATTACTGCAGCCTGGAGACGGTGTCAGGGCAGAAACAGGCAGAAACAGGCAGAAAAAGGCAGAAAACCAGCCAGAAACAGGAAGAGAGGGAACCAGCATGTGGGCCGACCTATGCAAGAACAACCAGGTAGGAAAGGCTGGTTATTACTGCAGCCTGGAGAAGGAGTCAGGGCAGAAACAGTCAGAAACAGGCAGAAAAAGGCAGAAACAGTCATAAAAACAGCCAGAAAAAGGAGGAGACGGAACCAGCATGTGGGCCGACCTGTGCAAGAACAACCAGGTAGGAAAGGCTGGTTATTGCAGCCTGGAGACGGTGTCAGGGCAGAAACAGGCAGAAACAGGCAGAAAAAGGCAGAAACAGTCATAAAAACAGCCAGAAAAAGGAGGAGACGGAACCAGCATGTGGGCCGACCTGTGCAAGAACAACCAGGTAGGAAAGGCTGGTTATCAGTGCAGCCTGGAGACGGTGTCAGGGCAGAAACAGGCAGAAACAGGTAGAAACAGGCAGAAAAAGGAGGAGACGGAACCAGCATGTGGGCCGACCTGTGCAAGAACAACCAGGTAGGAAAGGCTGGTTATTACTGCAGCCTGGAGACGGTGTCAGGGCAGAAACAGGTAGAAACAGGCAGAAACAGGCAGAAAACCAGCCAGAAACAGGAAGAGAGGGAACCAGCATGTGGGCCGACCTGTGCAAGAACAACCAGGTAGGAAAGGCTGGTTATTACTGCAGCCTGGAGACGGTGTCAGGGGCAGAAACAGGCAGAAACAGGCAGGAAAAGGCAGAAAACCAGCCAGAAACAGGCAAAAAAAAACCAGTCAGAAACAGGAGGAGAGGAACCAGCATGGTGGCCGAACCTGTGCAAGAACAACCAGTAGGAAAGGCTGGTTTATCAGTGCTGCCTGGAGGACGGTGTCAGGGCAAAACAGCAGAAACAGGCAGAAAAGGCAGAAAACCAGCCAGAAACAGCAAAAAACCATCAGAAACAGGAGGAGAGGGAACCAGCAATGTGGGCCGAACCTGTGCACAGAACAACCCTGTGATTACAGGCTGATATTACTTCGCAGCCTGGAGACGGTGTCAGGGCAGAAACAGGCAGGAAAAGGCAGAAAACCAGCCATAAACAGGAGAGACGGAACCAGCATGTGGCTGACCTTTGGCAAGAACAACCAGGTGTAGGAAAGGCAGATTATTACTGCACGCTGGAGAAGGAGCAGGGCAGAAACAGTCCAAAACAGGCAGAAAAAGGCAGAACAGGTCCTAAAACCAGTTCAGAAAAAGGAGGAGACGGAACCAGCATGTGGGCCGAGCCTGTGGCAAGAACAACCAGTAGGAAAGCAGATTATTAGCTGCAGCCTGGAAGACGGTGGTCAGGGCAGAAACAGGCAGAAACAGGCAGAAAAAAGGCAGAAAAACCAGCCAGAAACAGGAAGAGAGGGAACCAGCAGGTGGGCCGACGCTATCAAGAACCACCAAGGTAGGAAAAGGGCTGTTATATTACTGCACCTGGAGAAGGAGTCAGGGCAGAACAGTCAGAAACATGGCAGAAAAAAGGCAGAAACAGTCATAAAAACAGCCAGAAAAAAGGAGGAGACACGGAACCAAGCATGTGGGCCGACCTGTGCACGAACAACAGTAGAAAAGGCTGGTTATTACTACTGCAGCCTGGAATACGGTGTCAGGCAGAAACAGGCAGAAACAGGCAGAAAAGGCAGAAACAGTCATAAAAAACTAGCCAGAAAAAGGAGGAGACGGAACCACAATGGTGGGCCGACCCTGTGCAAGAACATCCAGGTAGAAAGGCTGATTATTACTGCAGCCTGGAGACGGTGTCAGGGCAGAAACAGTCAGAAACAGGCAGGAAAAGGCAGAAAACCAGCCAGAAACAGGAGGAGACGGAACCAGCATGTGGGCTGACCTGTGCAAGAACAACCAGGTAGGAAAGGCTGGTTATTACTGCAGCCTGGAGACGGAGTCAGGGCAGAAACAGGCAGAAACAGGCAGAAAAAGGCAGAAACAGTCATAAAAACAGGCAGAAAAAGGAGGAGACGGAACCAGCATGTGGGCTGACCTGTGCAAGAACAACCAGGTAGGAAAGGCTGTTATTACTGCAGCCTGGAGACGGTGTCAGGGCAGAAACAGGCAGAAACAGGCAGAAAAAGGCAGAAACAGTCATAAAAACAGCCAGAAAAAGGAGGAGACGGAACCAGCATGTGGGCCAACCTGTGCAAGAACAACCAGGTAGGAAAGGCTGGTTATTACTGCAGCCTGGAGACGGTGTCAGGGCAGAAACAGTCAGAAACAGGCAGGAAAAGGCAGAAAACCAGCCAGAAACAGGAGGAGACGGAACCAGCATGTGGGCTGACCTGTGCAAGAACAACCAGGTAGGAAAGGCTGATTATTACTGCAGCCTGGAGAAGGAGTCAGGGCAGAAACAGTCAGAAACAGGCAGGAAAAGGCAGAAAACCAGCCAGAAACAGGAGGAGACGGAACCAGCATGTGGGCCGACCTGTGCAAGAACAACCAGGTAGGAAAGGCTGGTTATTACTGCAGCCTGGAGAAGGAGTCAGGGCAGAAACAGTCAGAAACAGGCAGAAAAAGGCAGAAACAGTCATAAAAACAGCCAGAAAAAGGAGGAGACGGAACCAGCATGTGGGCCGACCTGTGCAAGAACAACCAGGTAGGAAAGGCTGGTTATTAGTGCAGCCTGGAGACGGTGTCAGGGCAGAAACAGGCAGAAACAGGCAGAAAAAGGCAGAAAACCAGCCAGAAACAGGAAGAGAGGGAACCAGCATGTGGGCCGACCTGTGCAAGAACAACCAGGTAGGAAAGGCTGGTTATTACTGCAGCCTGGAGACGGTGTCAGGGCAGAAACAGGTAGAAACAGGCAGAAACAGGCAGAAAACCAGCCAGAAACAGGAAGAGAGGGAACCAGCATGTGGGCCGACCTGTGCAAGAACAACCAGGTAGGAAAGGCTGGTTATTACTGCAGCCTGGAGACGGTGTCAGGGCAGAAACAGGCAGAAACAGGCAGAAAAAGGCAGAAACAGTCATAAAAACAGCCAGAAAAAGGAGGAGACGGAACCAGCATGTGGGCCAACCTGTGCAAGAACAACCAGGTAGGAAAGGCTGATTATTACTGCAGCCTGGAGAAGGAGTCAGGGCAGAAACAGTCAGAAACAGGCAGGAAAAGGCAGAAAACCAGCCAGAAACAGGAGGAGACGGAACCAGCATGTGGGCCGACCTGTGCAAGAACAACCAGGTAAGAAAGGCTGGTTATTACTGCAGCCTGGAGACGGTGTCAGGGCAGAAACAGGCAGAAAAAGGCAGAAAACCAGCCAGAAACAGGAGGAGACGGAACCAGCATGTGGGCCGACCTGTGCAAGAACAACCAGGTAAGAAAGGCTGGTTATTACTGCAGCCTGGAGACGGTGTCAGGGCAGAAACAGGCAGAAACAGGCAGAAAAAGGCAGAAACAGTCATAAAAACAGCCAGAAAAAGGAGGAGACGGAACCAGCATGTGGGCCAACCTGTGCAAGAACAACCAGGTAGGAAAGGCTGATTATTACTGCAGCCTGGAGACGGTGTCAGGGCAGAAACAGGTAGAAACAGGCAGAAACAGGCAGAAAACCAGCCAGAAACAGGAGGAGACGGAACCAGCATGTGGGCCGACCTGTGCAAGAACAACCAGGTAAGAAAGACTGGTTATTACTGCAGCCTGGAGACGGTGTCAGGGCAGAAACAGCCAGAAACAGGCAGAAACAGGCAGGAAAAGGCAGAAAACCAGCCAGAAACAGGAGGAGACGGAACCAGCATGTGGGCCAACCTGTGCAAGAACAACCAGGTAGGAAAGGCTGATTATTACTGCAGCCTGGAGACGGTGTCAGGGCAGAAACAGGTAGAAACAGGCAGGAAAAGGCAGAAAACCAGCCAGAAACAGG